CTTATATTTCACAATGGTGGAATTATTAATTACTAGTATATTCAGGATGTGTATGTATGTGTACTTCAAAGGAAAATAAATAGCAGTGATCAAAATAAGATGAACTATTTTGATGGGCACTTACCCGTTTTGTAATGTTCCTCCAAACCTCCATCTGTTTCATTTCACAAATGAGAAATGAAATTAAAACAAGGTTCAATATAACGGCGCCCAATATAACCTATATATTTGAGACGCCTGGAAATGCTTTACTTTTGGTAAGCGAAGGTGGTTTATTACTTTTTTGGGTTATTGTTGGATATATTGAGAAAATTAAAAGGGCAAGATTTAAGATCATTTAAAAGATTTCCATTAAAAAAAAAGATCATTTAAAAGATTCAGAAAATTAAACTTCTGTAAAAACAGTGTACCTGTTTATCAGAGATGATCCTTTGCCCATTCTGAAGGGAATCCTCCAAAAACATAAGCTCTCTGTAGCTCAGGGATGAGATATCTTCTCCCTTCAGGTGCCTGCAGATACACACACATATATAGATATTCATAATAAGAATGCATGGATTATTTATTTATTTATTGATTCAGTTTATTTTGCAGACTCCTTATCAGGCAAGTATGTGCTAATTAACTAAAATTTGTATGTGATCAACTTAAAGATGATAATAATGACAATGAGAATGCATAAAAAGTACACATTATATTGCATATAATTACCTTAGCTCAACTTGCATGTTGTCATTCTCTTTCTTGACTCTATTGATTTCGTTCTCCAAATCCTGATTTGTTTGAATAATGATGATTAAATGGGAAAGCAATTTTATTGGAGTAATTAAGGGGTGGAAAAGGGCTAGTTAATTACCTGCGACAAAATTGAAATATGTTAACGAATCCTAGAAAATATGCATCCAGTTGGCTTTATTTGTTTATTTTACAGCACGGGAACACAACTAATGAGATATTTCCCTAAATACAGAGTATGAATAACATAACAAATTTTCTTACTATACATAGCATTACAATTCTTTTCTTTCTCAAAATAAGGAACTCTTATTTAAGAATTCTTTTATTCTTCTTATTCTTTTAATATGACTAAATACGATAGTATATCCTACTGTCGGAGATATTTAGAGAACATAACATAGTTATAATTTTACGTATTCCATACTCCTATTTTGAGCACTTTCTTTTGATTAATTCTATGAATGGCACCTAGTGGATGTTTTGGACTCATAACTTCACATTCCCTCTGTTTAAGAAAATTTGTCCAAAATTGATTTTTTTTATCAAAAGATAATAACCGTTGGACAATAATTTTAGTTATATGTTATACTTGTGTAAAATACGAAGTATACAACTTTTATACTTTTAAAAAACATTTTTGACAAAGATTATTTTTGTATATTTGAAATAGTTTCGTGTTATAAATATCATTTATCAAACTTGACTATTATTGACCAACAAAGTAAATATGATCGAATTTTATGGAATGAAAAGAATAGTAAAAATAGGGTATCCAGTAAAAATACTCCAACTTAAACTTGATTGTGTTAACAATTCAAGTATATCTTCTTAGGACTTTTACAAATAATGGTGTATATATACATGTTGGTGGTCAAAATTATTCATTGACAAACATAAAAGTCAATGAATAATTTTACTTGACCCAAGTCTAATAGCACCTTTTTCTTTCGATTTTACTTGAATTGGAAAAATAAATAAGCATTTGAAAGGGATTTTTTATGAAAAGAAGTGTCCCAACATAATTTTTGATAATTCACTTCATGGTACAAGTTTGTGCCTTTAGGTCAAGGCAGCTTTACGAAGTTTGGACCAGGCAAAAGGAAGTTCATCGTATCAATGGATCTTGTCAAAGGATACATCAATGGCAAAAAAAACACTCTTAATATGTAGCTAGGTGATCTGGTGATGATAAGACACATAGTTATATCATTACTTTTTGCAACAAAAGGGAAAATCTGTATATACACACCCCTTATTTATTGTAAGTTGTAACTCGATCATCAACAAGCTAGAATGAAAATATAATCTATCAGATCTGTAGCTCTTTGATGTAACATACATACATCCTAGCTAAGCTAGCATCTCTGATCTGATCGATCTTTTGTGTAGAGAATTTATATATATACACGCACATATATAATAAAGTATAGGGTCTAGCTAGATGAGATCTCAAACAGAAAAAAGTGCATCTATCCTAAGCTTGAATTGCTAGCTATTTCTAGATCTCTTCACACAAATTTCCGGCTTACATGTTTCTAGCAAAAAACCAACCCCTTCTATTATCCCTTAGTTCTCTTCTAGATCGATTAGCTTTGACTACTACACATTCCATTTCTAGATCTGCTCTTAGATTTCCTTTTCCCATTTTCTTAACACACTTTCAGCAACAAACACACCCTTTTTCCTTTTCTTTCCATCCCTTTTTTTGGGGGTATATGAGAAAGAATATATACATATTGAACCTCACCTCATGCTTTGCATC